CCTAACACAAAGCGGAGCGGCGACGCACTGGCGCCTACAAACCTAACAGGGATACTGCACGCATTGCGCAACGCGTGAAGTATCCCAGTTAGGTTTGTAGGCGCCAATGGGTGTTGCACAGTATTATACGAGAATGACAGGCATCCATCAAAAGTACGGAGCTTTCCTCGCAAAATAAGTCAAGATACTACGGCCCAAAAAGAGAGCAGTATTCCAAAAACTCACTAAGTCCTAGCATCCGTAATTAGTAACGTTTAGCATACACTTTATCGCCTGGCTGTTGCTTAATCGCCATCAGCTATAAAATGCTATAAGATTTTGTGTAGCCGGCTGTATGTCTGTGGTATTTTGGAACACAGATTCTACTGCCAATTTTTACTAGGGTTCGTTCTTCTGTTTCTGTTTTGGGCTCTTGTGTGTGACTTGGTTTCTACTGTATGTCTATGTACAGTATTACAATTTACACAATTTTTTTTCCTTTTTACTTCACAATTTTTTGGTAGGAAGCCAAAAGTACATATATTTGCTACCCTGGGAGTTTTTCCAGATAATTATGAAGGAGCAACATTTTCACAACACTGCAATCGCGCTGGTTATCCTTTCTGCTAAATGCGATCCAAATAGTGTCAGCGGCGTGACGTGCTTTGCGATATATCGATTGATCTGCCATTTAAACCTATGTAAAAGGATCGATTATTAGGGTGTTCGCAACGAACACCCGAATAATCGATTCTTTACCACAGCTCAAATGGGAAAATATCGATTATCGATAGTCGATCATTCACACCTCGCCACTAAATAGAGTATGACAGAAAGTCTGCAAAGCCACTAACGGAGACTCGGGGTTTCGCGTTTTTGTCATGTATATGTACCATTATTACTGATGCAGATAGATACTTTTGCGAGTGAGTCAGAAATCGTAGTTCCTTTATGGCAAAATGTAGTACATTTGTATTGATGATAGAAATTGATTACATTTTGCAATGAGGAGCCACTATCTCTGGCTCTTTTGTTCAAGCACATACTTTCATAGGGAAACCAATGGAATGTATGTTGTTTCTAAAATGGGCCAGGAAAAATGGTTCCTTATTGCAAAATGTAATCCAAATATCAGTCGAAACTCGGCTAAGTACACACCTCTTTTTTTTCTTTAATTTCGATGATGAAAACGACCAACCACGTAACTTGATTCAATTTCAAAATTCAAGACAGTCTGATTCTCTTTTTCCCTCGCGAAAGAACCTAATTATATTATTTCAATGTTGCCTCATTTGTCCTCGCAAATTACGCTTTTACTAAGAGAATCCTGCACTGAAAAAAAACACATTGGATCCAGAGTCCAGACTCTTGAAAACATTGACAAGAAAAAATACTCTTGATTCAATCGGATTTTTGCTTGAATCAAAACGAAATCCGCTTAAATTAAGAGGCTTGGTTCTTGATTTAGGCTAGATTCTGATTGAATCAAGAGTACTTTTTCTTGTCGATGTTTTTAAGAGTCTGGACTCTAGATCCAATGTGTTATTTTCCCACTGTGGGCAAATCCAACCGAGAACTTTCCTGATTTTTCTTCTGATCTCATGCACAAAGTAGAGACATTTTGAACAAAAATTGCACAAGTACATTTTTGTAAAAAATTGGATTGTTTGAGTCAATTGATCAACCTCGCGATGCAGTTACGTTTCTTCGTCCGGGAAACGACAGATTGACATTACGAGTCCTCGGAGGCTCTTTGATCAAGTTGAAATTTAATTTCAAGGTTGCCAAGTTTCAATGTCAAAAAATGCGCACGCACATCCTTGTAAAAAATCGGATTGTTTGAGTCAAGTTTGCAAGCTTGTAATGGAGTTACGATACCAAAATTTACTCTCTGGGTTTTGCTTTCTTTCTTGCAGGATCAACTTACCTCACCACCATGGAAATTATCACCACAGAGAGCCTCCGTCAAACTTCGGATCTTATCATTTGAACGATGTCAACGGTAACGAATTGTCTGGGAATGACGTTCACGCGGCGGCGCTGCAGCAAAGTCTGGACCCCCAGTCGGCGAGGCATTATAATCCAGGTAAGAGAGCATAACGTATTCACTGTGGCCTGTGTCACACCAACCTGTGTCGCACTATCAAAATACTCCTTGAAAATGTCAAGGACAAGTGCTGTCATTGGTCCAAGTCATCGAATACGCTAATCACAACACCTGACCTTGATATTTAGATTGCTAGTTTTGATAGTGTGACACAGGCAGTGTTCGAAACTCACGAACGCCAACGCGCCAAATGCGCCTAAGAAATCGGTCATGGCGCCTAAAAAATGAAGACTCTGCGCCAACCTGGCCCCTAAAAAATTACCCCCCCCCCAAAAAAAAAAAGAAAAATCCCAATTTTTTTGTTAAGTGATTTTTCGAAATCCCTCCCAAGCTACTAGTTCCTGTAGCTAAAACATCTCGTGGCTAGGTGTGTCACAGGCTATGGTTGGTACACATCCATGCTCCAGGATTTTCAAATTTTACAGGGAGTAAGGTCGAGTGGGGTCTGTTTCAGCAGATCTAATCGTAATTTCCGAAAAAGTTTGACAACACTACTAAGATACGAACCCGGGACCTATCGACCTATAGTCAGACGCACTGACCACTAGGCCAACCTAACCGTCTTCAGATTCTTCTCAGAATTTTCAGTGAACTAGTTCGATTCACCATTGAAAATGAAAAGTGTGCTTGGAGTGTGCCTGACCACGAAGGCAAGACATTTCGGATTCATTTTTTGTAGTCGATCAATGAAGTCGAGTAAGGTTTATCTTACTCCATAGTATGAAATGATATGAGTAACGTATTACACGTAACGCCTAAGGCGCGAAACGCTTCGGAGAGTTAGCTGGGCCGCAATGCGATTTAGGGGGCGCACCCTCTAGGCTTTGTCGACAAGTTAATACATTTCCATTTCCACACATCTACGACAAAAATGAGACAATTGTCAGGAATTACGATGCCACATGCATTTTTAAGATGCATTTTGATTAGATGAGAGGACTTTTTAGTTGGACTGAGATAACTTTCTTATTATCAAGGAAGGCGGGCAAGTTTTCAGGCATTTTCTCGCATTCCTTTTCAATTAATCCGAAAATTACACTCGTGCTTTCGTAGCAGGCAATGTCTCCCGGAAAATTCCGTATTTCCACAAATAATCGAATCACCGGAAAATCCTTACGTAATGGGGGAAAACGGATACAATGGTTTAAATCTGCGCAGAAAATCCACCGAAAATTTGTTTTCCTTATTCTCGCATAGTTCACCCAAAAATGTTTACAAGCTGAGGTGATATTGGTTCGTTTGTTCTTTCTCCTCTTATCTTTCATCCAAATAAACGTCGTGAAAATATTTCCTTGAAATTTTGTTCGAATATTTTTGAATGGGTGGGGACTTACTACGCAGCAATTGGAATTACGCATTTGTCGTCTTTAGCTATTGATATATTCGCACAACGTACGGGCATGCACGGTACACGAATGGTCGCAAGTTGCATCTATAAGAGAGCGAGGATAAGGAAGGAGATTCTGGCGCTCCTTCAGTTTTTCGTGTAAGCAACCCGGATATCCACGGAACACGAATAGTCGCATCTAAGAGGAGGAGTAGGATAGGTCAACGTCTGACGCGCCTTCTGTTTTTTCGTGTATGCAACCCGGATATCCATGGAGCACGAATTGTTGCATTCTGGTGTTTTCATCTTTGTGACTGCACAGCCGAGGCGTTGAATGGGCTGAGTTAAAGAGGAAGGAGCCATCCAGGCTTGCTAAAAACAATTAGTTAAAAGCAGTTTTGAGCGTGAATAGTCGCACATTTTTTATAATCAAAAATGTAAAGCCAAGAAAAATATTTTTATGTGAAAACAGGCGCTGAACTTTGTTTGTGAGATTAAGTCTTCGGAAGAAGTACGATTTTAAGATTTTTTTCTTTTGAGCTCAATCTCAATATGACTTGGTTCCTCTTCGTTTTCGATTTTTGTTTTCGTTTTACCTAACTCTGGACCTTGTACCTTAACCGGCAAGATCATTGAAGGAGAAAGACAAATCGATGGACAGGAAAAAAAGTCGTATATAGAGGGATCCTATTGGACGAAGAAAGTAAGTAATAGACCAACTGGATTGCATTTTGCAAAAAGGAACCAAAAGCATTTCAATTTCGCTAGGATTGTGCAACTTACGTCCTTTGCAATGAAATCACTGAAATAATGCACAAAATAAAATTTACGAAGGTAATTTTCGTCTTGAGTTTATAGTTTATTGAAAGTAAAGATAAAACTCATTTGGGTAATCAGTTTATTCGAAAAAAAAAAGTTGGACAATCTTAACGACATTGGAATGCTCGTGGCTCCTTTTTGTAAAATGCAATCCAACTAACGGTAACCCACGAGAGACCTTATCCATCATTTTCCTCCTTGATTTGTGAAACCTACCCGTTTCAACCAATAGGATCGCTGCAAATCCTCTTTGTCTTCGTCGCCTATCCCTTTGCTTAGCAATCTCAATAATCAGCCCGTTGGTTCCTTTCTGTTAAATTCGGTCCAGTCCGTTGGTTCACCGTCCGTGCAGGCCGTTGGATGGATATGGAATATTATGATACCATTTCGCGCGATATGACGCGGACGCGGTCAAGGCGAGCGCACAGGCACACGCGAACGCGAACGCTGATTTGACGCGAAATTTCGCACGGTGTGCACCGGGTCTGAGTCAGTAATGAAGATCTATTTTTCACCGGTTTCTTGCTCCAGACCCCCTCACGTAACGGTGAGAAGTGCCCTCACCATGTGGCTCCATTGTCACGGACGTCCATCGTTGCCGAGTTTGGAATTTATCCAAAATAGTTTATTTAATGCCCCCAGCGGGCCGATTATTGAAATTTAAACCAGCCCGATAAGACATCGAAATTGCGATATATTGCATGGTTGAGATAGGGCTATGTCTTGTCGTGTCAGGCTGGCATAGTTTCAATAATCGGGCCGCTGCGGGCTGATAGTTGAAATTGATAGACAAAGAGATAGACGAAGAAGAAGAAAAGGATATGGAGGGATCCTATCGGTAGAAGCGGGAGGTTGCAATAGACAAAGAACGTAGGTAATAAACGAACTAATGGCAACCCACACGAGCGATCCGATAGTTGGTTCATCATTTACGCCCTTAATGCATAAGAACCACTCATTTCAACCAATAGGATCGCTCTATACTCCTTATGTCTCCTTTGTCTATCGCTTTGTCTATCAATTTCGACAATCAGCCCGCTGGAAATAGAGTACCTAGATAGGGAGAGTACGGACAGTCGGACAAGTCAATAATTTTGGAGGCTAAGTCACGGAGCTTTTAGAACTCTCACGAAGGGGGAACTCTCTCATAAAGGACGATCACGGTGTAAACGAAACTTAAAACTTCCCGCTGTAACATCTTTCGAACTGTAAGCCTTGTTTTCCTCGTGTATAATTTACTCTTAATCTAACCTAGATCATCCAGGGCAGGAGAGCCATCGCGATGCTGAACGGGGTGCTCTGGGATCAGAGCATCTCAAAGGCAAACAAGCACCGGATATATGACGCCATCGTTAAAAGTATCGTGCTCTATGGTAGTGAAGTGTGGCCTTTGACGAAAAGAACGCAAGAAATGTTGAGGGCAACTGAAATGGATTTTTGGCGGCGATCTGCCGGCATTTCGAGACGGGACCGTGTCCGTAATGAGAGAATTCGCCAGGTGATGAAGGTTGAGAAAGATATCGTGCACGACGTCATGTCCAGGCAGTTATGCTGGTATGGACATGTGCAAAGAATGTCGGAGGAGAGGTTGCCCAAACAAGTTTTGGATTGGGTACCACCTGGGAAGAGGCGACGGGGGCGTCCCGTAAAGGGTTGGCGGCAGGGCGTTGACGAAGAGATGTTGCGGTGTCAGTTGCCCGATAACCTCTGGGAAGACAGGCATATGTGGCGTTTGGGTGTCGCAGAACGCCGAAGTGCGTTGTAAAGCGACTTTATATATATATCTAACCTAACCCAAACGAAACTTACCGAACTTTATGCATTAGGAACTCTGAGAATTTAAGGCCCGAAAGGGAATTACTGAAATAAGAAATTTTGGAAAAATTCCAAGAAGCCGAAAAAAACTTTTAATTTAAAAAAAGAGCAACGGTCAGATGATCTATGACCCTCCGGAAAATGAAAATTGTGGCATTCATCGTGAAAATTATAGCAAATTGATTCTTCAAATCGTGACATTCTTAATTCACGGGCATTCATTGTCAGGCCACAAAACCTACATATCGAGTAATTATTTAGAATGAAAAAACTATGTAATGGGAACTTTAAATCAAATATATTTGCATTTTACAATTTTTATCAGAATTTTTGTAACTAAAGCAACGTATTAAGAATTATTTAAAGATGTCTTGATTACAAACGCCCAAGTGGCCCTGAAGTTTTATGAGGTCTCCGGTGGTTTCTTCATGCTCCGTCTTCTTTTCACATTTGCCGTTGTAATCCTTCCACTGTTCCAATGTTGTATCGATTCTTGTCCAAAATTTGTTATAGGTATCCTGAATTACGGCACATCCTTTTCTTTTCCTTTTCTTTTCTATCTCTCGTATAATGTGAAAAGCTTATTGCTTATTATCATGAAGTGATCTATTAAACCCCGGAAAATTCTTCAACGCTATAACATCATAGCGTTCCAGAGTCGGGCAGCTGAGAGTACGACTCACGTTGAAACCCACGGCGTCCAGAAAAGTCAAAAACGTGCGATCCACCAAAGCGAACACGATGAACCCAAGAGTCTCAAGAAAATTCGGAGCCGCTTGGAAAAACTGAAACGCGAAACACGCGAAATTGTTACCCTTCCTCAAATTTCGGGTGTTATAAACCCCGAACGTGAGGTTACCCACGTCGGCGAGGGTAAACGAATTGATCTGACCTGTATTTCCGCCGATAGCGACGATATTGGGGTTCCTTCTGGCCGCTGTGCTGAAATCCTCCAGGAGGTTGAGCAGAGTGTATGGTGCGAGGAGACTGCGCCTGTACCAGTTGTCCGGAATCCGTT